CCTTTCTCCGCCTCCGCAAACTCCCCCTCCCCTGAATACCCCCCTCTCCCCAGGTCCGCAAACTCCCCCTTCCCCTCCCCTCCCCGCTCACCCTACCGCAATCCCTCCCCTCACCCCGTCCGCCTCGTCCGCAACCCCCCGAATTCCCCCTCCCCACGCATCCCCGCGCCCAGATCCGCGGCCCCGACGCGGGCAACCTGGCAGCAACGCGGCGGGCGCAGCGCGACCTGTGGGAGCGGCAGTTCCCGGCGTCATGCAAGGAGCGGAGGCTGGTGCTGATAGAGTGGTCGCCGCTGGAGCGCCACGGGCTGGGGTCGCAGCTGCACATCATGACGGCGCTCTTCAGCCTCGCTGTCAGCTACAACCGCACCTTCGTGCCCATGCCCGGCACCTACATGCGCGCCAACCACTCCGAGTGCCAAGGTGGGGAGGTGGGTCAGTGGGCGGGTTGGTGGGTGAGGTGGGCGGCTAAGTAGATGGGTGGGTGGGTGGGTGGTAAAGTGGGCGGGCGTCGAGTGGGTTGCAAGGCACCAGCATGTGGGGGAGGTACACGTGAGGGGCCACATGAATGAGTGGTAACCATGACCACATCGAGATGCTCCTTTCTTTCGCCCTCGCACCTCCATGCGTGCACTCTCTGCCCCCCTTTTCCACACTGGTCAAGGGGGCCATGTGTGGGTGCTGCATCTCTCTCTTGGTGGGGCAAGGATTGCGACGACTGCCAACTCACCCCTTCACCCCTTCACCCCTTCTCTCCTTCTTTTCCTTTCCTATCACTTGCTCTCCCTTCCTCCTTCCCCCTTCCGAGATCCCCGTTCCTTGTTCCCTGTTCCCCTTTCCCTTTTTCCCCTCCCCCCTTCCTCCCTCCTTCCCCCTCCCTTCCCTCTTCCCCCTTCCCCGTCTGTCTCCCCGTCCCTATTTTCCCTTCCCCCTTCCCCCCCCCATCTCCTTCCCCCCTCACCTCCTTTCCCCCCCCCATCTCCTCCCCCCCCATCTCCTCCCCCCCCATCTCCTTCCCCCCCCATCTCCTTCCTCCCCAACCTACCGCGCCCAGCCATAGGCAAGGCGTCAACCTTGGAGTGCTACTTCTTCCGCATGGTATCCAAGGAGTGTGAGGACATAGCCATGGCGGAGCACCGGGCAGGCCGCATCCCGCCGTGCCCTGATTTTCGGGACCTAGAAGGGGCGCTCAAGTCTGACAGCCCCGTGGTGTGCGCTAAAGACGAGGACTACAACCGCCTTCGCTTGCGGGGGGATGCTGCCAGGTGCGTCAGGGTGGGCGGTTCTTGTTGGGAGGAGGGTTACTTAGATTTGACACAAGTGACGGGCAGTTGCAGGAAGGGAAGGCGCGCTCAAGTTTGACAGCCCAGGACTACAACCGCCTTTGCGATTAAGATGGACACTCCAAGGTGCGTGCGCGAGGGTGGGTGGTTGTCGTAAAAAGGTTGCTACAAGGAGGAATGGCGCTCACATTGAAGGCAGACAGCTTGTGGTATGCTGCCAAGGAGGGCAAGATGGCAACTTTCTTGGCTGTGATGAGGAGGCGGCAAGATGGGTAGTTCCCCCAAGGTGGATGGAGCACAGCTTCTTGTTGGGAGGAGGGTTCAAGTCTGACGGCCCAGGACGACAATCACCTTGGCGATTAAGGTCGGACGCTGCCAGGTGCGTGCGTGAGGGTGGGTGGTTGCTGTAAAAAGGTTGCTACAGGGAGGAATGGCATGGCACCCCCATTCAAGGCAGACAGCTTGTGGTATGCGCGTGCCAAGGAGGACGAGATGACAATTGTCTCGGCTGTGATGTGATGAGGAGAGGAGGCGGGTCAATCGAAGATGGGTACTTCCCCCAACGTGGACGGACCGCAGCTACTTGGGTTGGCCGCCCTAGAAATTCATCCCGCCAGGCAGACAGCCTCCTGCTGTGCGCTAAGGATGCGTATGAGTCGTTGCTGGGACGTTTGAGTTGACCCTAGAGGCGCCTTGCTGAAAGGCTGCAATGGTACGTGCGATGCTCTCCTCTCCTCCTCTTTTTCCCCCTCCCTTTCTTCCTCCTTTTCCCCCTCCATTTCTCCCTCCTTTTCCCCCTCCCTTTCTCCCTTCTTTTCCCCCTCCCTTCCTCCCTCCTTTTCCCCTACCCTTTTCCCCTCCCTTTCCCCCTCCTTTTCCCGCTCCCTTTCCCGCTCCCCTTCCCCTTTCCCTTCCCACTTTCCCCCTCTCCAGGCCTCGCCGCTGTCCCTGTCTCCCCCCCTCCTAGGGAACTGGACTGGACCACACGTACCTACATCGGTGGTGAAGCTTACAACTTCTTAATCCGACTCAGAATAACCCCTCTCTCTTTGATTTAACTCAACACATTTCCCGGGCTCCTGCCCCTGTCCTCCCCTCTTCCTTTCCTGCCCCCGTGCTGGTAACCCTGTCCGTCCCTCCCAGGGAGTGGGGCGACGCGTACCTGCAGCGGCCCAACGTGGTGGAGCTCACAGGCTCCATGCAGCCAGTTAACCCCGGCCAGCGACAGGTGGGCATGTCATGTCATGGCCACAGGTGGGGTGTGTGATGTGACGGCTCAACGCACAGGAGTGTGTGTGAGACGCTGGGTATGGTGTTTGCTTGACTTGATGCGCTTCATGCAGCCGATACACCCCATGCAGTGACGGGTGGGTTTTCAACTGTACTGTGGTGAAAGTCGTATGCTCCATGCAACCCAATGCCCTGTCCTGTCCATGGCTTTCTGCATTGCGTTTCGGGCCACTCTCTACTCTGCACGCACGGCTCTTGCACGCTTTCAAGGATTCAAAGATTCACCCACTCAGTCCAGTCCAGTCCTCGTCACCCCACTCCACTCCACTCCGCTCCACTCCACTCCACTCCACTCCACTTCCTTCCACTCCACTCCACTCCACTCCACTCCACTTCCTTCCACTCCACCCCACAGGCCTCCTCTTGCTCCTTATTCTCTTTTGAGCCGACTCGAAGTGCCGACTCGAAGTTCACCTTCCCCTCTTCCCTCCTCTCACCCCTACATCCCCCCTCCTCCCCCCCCCCCCACCCACACCAGGTGCACTGGTGGCGAGCGCAGGCGATCCGCTTCATGCTGCGCTGGCCGTCGGCATACATGTGCCACATCACCAACCGCGTGCGCCACAACGCGTACGGCCAGCAGATCGCCATCCACATGGTCAAGGCGGCAGCGGAGCAGGAAGCCATCATCAAAGCCCTCAGGCCTGATGATGCTCACAAGGGCCTCGCGATTAACTACGGGCAGGAGATCAACACGCTCTCACACATGAATTTCTCCGCGCCGAACCTCGAGAATGAGGTCTGGCCGGGCCTGGACTATGCGGGGTGTTCGCTGGACAACCATACGGATCCGGAGGCGCCAAAGCACGCGGCTGACTCGGTGTATGAGGGGGTGGGCGGGGAGCCGTATATCCCGCGCCCGATTGTGAGCATGCACGTGCGGCAAGGGGACAAGGCGGGCGAGATGCGGCTCATCTCGTTCCCCTCGTTCATGTTCATGGCCAATAGGCTCAGACGGAGGGCACCGTTCCTCAAATACGTCTGGCTCAGCACTGAAATGCAGGTCAGCCAGGGACCTATGCTGCATGGGTTTGAGCTTGTTTCCAGAAATTCTTCGCTGTTCGTTTCTTCTTTTGCCTTGTCGTCTCACCTCGTCGCGCTTCAACTCACTCCTCCCCATGTCCCCCCTCCGGCGCACACATTCCTCCCTCTTTCCTTCCTCCAATGGAAGGATGATGGATCGATTGCAGCAGTTATAAGGCTCACACATCTCCCCTGTCTGTCCTTATAATGCCAACTTTCCAGTCTTTTGTGCCTCCCGTGGCCACCCTTTCTCCGCCCCGCTGAGTGTGGAGGAGCAGTCACATCAACACAAGAACCAAGCCTCGTTCTGCTCCAGTTGTCTAATTCACTCACCGTTCATCTCGTTTCATTCTTTGACTCCCCCACACCCCTCTTCTCCCTCTCCCCCCCCCCCCCCCCCCCTCACCATTCCTCCTTCCAGAGCGCGGTAGTGGTAGACTAGTCACAGCTATACAAGGACTGGACCTTCCTTTACTCCAGTTGTAAACCCAACAATCATCGCATTTCATTCTCGCTCTCCCACCCACCCTCCTCCCTCTCCTCCCTTCTATCTCCCCCTGTCAGAGCGTGATAGACCAGTCACAGCAATACAAGGACTGGGCCTTCCTCTACTCGACAAACCCCCGACAAAACGGCACAACCTCCATATTTGAGTACGAGCAGACGGCAGGAGTAGCCAAGCTGGCCGGGATCAGCCTGGCCAACCTGCTCATCTCATCGCAGGCGGATTTCTTTGTGGGGGCGCTGGGCTCCAACTGGAACCGGCTCATCAGTGAGCTCAAGGCCACCAGTGGACGGCTCTATGCCGGCTATGCGTCCGTGAATTTCGACGAGTGGTAGTCGTGCAAATGGAATGTATGTTGATCTTGTGATGTACGGTACTGTGTTTGTTGATGAACTCTTGAGGATGATGTGTGGATATTACGTACACCATGCACCCTACACCGCACGTCATGCATTACATGGTACGTTCTAACATAGCCACCATGCTCCACACGCCATTGCACTGCACGTCATGCATGATGCACGCGTGCATTGCTCATTTGATGCATCTTGCTCGCCTCGCTTCCTCACTCGACTTTGCAAGCGAAGATGAAACAGAAAAAAAAACGGCCAAATAAACACAAGCGCTTGCAAGAAGCTCACTGCCCTAGGTTAGAACAATGCTCGTTCACAACAAGGTTTCGTCATCAAGGCAACCTGATCCCTAAAGGTGCCCCAAAACCAATATTGGGCCCTGGTTGACAACAAGGCTCGTTCACAACAAGGCTCGTTCACAACAAGGCTCGTTCACAACAAGGCTCGTTCACAACAAGGCTCGTTCACAACAATGCTCGTTCACAACAATGCTCGTTCACAACAATGCTTGTTGACAAGCAGAGTTACAGCCATAGTTCCCCTCCCTCACGCGTGCTCCTCATCCAGATAGTAAGAGTCACCACCATCCGCTGCATCCCCTGCACCCTGCTCCCCTTCCCGCTGCTCACCCCGGCCATCCCCCTCTCGCTCTCCCTGCCCTGCTGTTGCTGACCCTGCACCCATGCCACCAGCAGAATCAGAGGCAGCAGCCGCAGCAGGCAGAGGGTCATTAGAGGCAGGTGGATGAGCTGGCTGTGCGCCCTCCAAGGCGTCATGCTGGGAGGGCAGCGGCAGCATCGGCAGGTTGGTGGTGAGCCCCACGCCCGTTGCGTGGCACGCCCGCGTCTGTGGTATGTTCTCCAGCGGCCGCTTCTCTGGCTCTCCTGGACACTGCAGGGAGGGGAGGGGACGCAGGGTGGGGTTGAGGAGTGGTGAGATGTGTGGTGGAGAGAAGTAGGGGCAAATCAATGGTGGGAGGCAAGGGTAGACGAAAAGAGATGCACAGTTAGGGCATGTGTGCATGGGTTAGTCATTCACAGTTGAAGACATTCTCCTGGGGTACCAATCACAAGCGCACTCCCCAGTGCCATGCCCTCACCAGCACTTGCTCCTCCACTTCGTGCACGTAGCAGGGCTCGGAGGAGTCCCCCCTCGCAACACCCTGTCATGGCCTCATGGGGTAGCAATGACAACCACACTCCCCACGCTCATCTGCTCACCAGCACTTGCTCCTCCACTTTGTGCACGTAGCAGGGCTCGGACGAGCCGAGCATGCAGGCGAGGCGGCCGTTGGAGCGCCAGTCGCTGTGCTTCCACTTGGCCACGTTCATGGTGTAGGGCGTCACCCCCGCCACCCCCGCCGCCACGTACCCAAACGTTGATGTGTCCGTCACCAGCAGCACATCGCTGGCATGGCAGCACCACAGGTGCGTATGGCCGCACGGGCGCGGGGGGGAAGGAAACCACCACCAATCAGTCGTGAGAGAGATCAATGTTGAGGGGTACATGGGTGTTAAGAGAGGGTTGAGTGAAGAGGTGTGAGAAGAGTCGCAGATCAGTCACATATGTGAGCGATGCTAAAGGTAGATGGGTGCAAGAAGTAATCAAGGAGGTGAGGAGGAATGTGAGGCTGAGCGGAGGGGGGCTGGAAGTGGGGGAAAAGGAGAGGGCGGAGAGGGGGTGTCGGGGGGGCACCAGAAAGCGAGGAGCCACATCTCGGTGACGGCGAGCTCGTACTGCAGCAGGTCGTCCTGCTTCTCCTCACCCTCGCCACTCACACTGCCACGTGCATCATGCATGCGCGATGGTGCACAGAAGATGACGCATGGGTGGGAGATTGTGTAAAAAAGATGACATGCCTTGCTCATTTCATGCTCCATTTTGTCATGAATAAATGAAAGCCATTCCCGCATGCAAGCACACAGCACAAGAGTGGCATGTGAACCCCTAAGCAAAGCAGTGAACATCCTGTCTGATACACTAGCACCAAAGCTAGAGAACAGTGCACAAAGCGTAGATGGTGTGGGGTAGCACTGCACCTGAAGACGGAGACAGTGGAGCCGTCCAGCGGCTTGCCCAGCATGTAGCGGTCGCGCAGCTTGGCGCCGTGCGTGGGGTTCAGCGACACCACCAGCGCCCCGATGCTGCGCCCGCGCACACCCAGCAGCGCCTCCTCCGTCACCTGTGTGGCGCCCGGAGTGGGTGGTGCACATTGGTGGGGGGTGGGCCATGGGGAGTGGGGCATGGAGAGTGGGGCATGGTGTGAAGATCGAGTTCAGAAATTATAATAAAAGTATTTAGGTACAACACAAGGCTATATATGGGCACGAAACAAGGCAAGGTAACTAGGTTTTACGACAAGGTTCTTAGGTTCACGAAGCATAGGGAAGAGGACCTTTCCAAACTCGGTGCAATCAATTCACCGGAATCACGCGAACGCAAAGTCATGCGGTGAAAAACCGAAGTGAAACATAATTCGGTTCACACAACCTAAAATCGGTGCTATAACGATAATATCTATAGAAAAGCAACGAAACTATAAAAAACTAGCACAAATGAGCATAGGAAAATATAAATAAACAAGAATGGGTAGCATAGCCGCTGTACTCTCACACATGGGGAGTGGGGCATGGGGAGTGGGGCATGGGGAGTGGGGCATGGGGAGTGGGGCATGGGGAGTGGTGCATGGGGAGAGTGCATGGAGGTAACTCGTGCACGTGCTGAGGTCCGATAATGGAGCGCCTCACGAGTGCCCTTTTGGTGCCGCATGGGATAGAGCTGGTTCACTGCACAGCAGTATGCTTGCATCCAACGCAACGGAACGGGCCATTTCAGCTAGACGGAACGAGAGAGTCCCCACGCCATGGCAGCGGCAGCTGCGCTCCCCACGTGCCACTCACAGATGTAGCGGATTGGCGCCATTGGTCGGTGGGTATGACAGGTGGCAGCACTCTGGCAATGTTGGTGGCGCACTCAAACACATTCACCATCAAATCCTCCTCTGTCTCCTCGAATGCGCGGATCTGACATGGACACACACATACACACACACGCACACACAAGCACACACACTCGTGCACGCACGAGAGCAGGCACAAGCATGCATACAGATGACAAAACGTGTAGGCATAAAGATGTGAAAACATATAAACTCAAAGCCTACTCTCATAATCCATCCCTCCTGTCTTATTCCCCACCCCCCATTCCCATCCTCGTTCATTCCCTCCTCTCCAACCTCCCATCCTATCCTTCCAGCACAATCTCTTCCACCCAAATTCAACCCTCCTTCCCCTTCACTTATCCAACTTCCCCCTCCCCTCCCTCCCTTCCCCGTAACCCGCTCCTGCTCTGCTCACTCCCTGGGCTGACCTTACCTGCATGCCGACAGTGAGGGAGTGGTGGGCGAGGTGGCCGTGGTAGAGGCGGGTGATGCGATCCCACAGGTAGTTGGCGGGGTGCAGCAGGTACCTGCACCGCACATGCACATGCATGGAGCACACATGCCACACGCATAGTGCACACATGCCACATGCACAGCACCCACATGGCATGGCACATACAAAGGCTCACAAAGTCATAGGCCTAGATGAAATTTTCAGAGTGGGAGTGGAGCAGAACAGGTAGGTGGGGGATGTTACGAATGGAGGGATGGGCGACAACTGACCGAGAAAGGTGGGTGAAGACTGACCGCGAAAGGTGGGTGAAGACTGACCGCGAAAGGTGGGTGAAGACTCGTCGATCGGGAAAGAGGGTGTCGAGCTGTACCTGCCGTGGTAAATGGAGGGAGTGCGGTGCGAGAGGGAGGGAATGGAGAGAGGGAGAGCAGCCAGAAGATGGGTGTGGAAAGGGAGACATGGTTGGGCGAATACTGTGTGGTGAGAACGAGGGGTGTAGTGATAGAGAGATAGCCAATCAAACACCGCCAAATAGATGCTGCAGTCATGAAGGCATGCTTCCCTTTGAGACCTGACCCACCTGCCATACGGCCAGCAAGCACAGAGCATGGCAGCACGCACAGAGCATGGCAGCATGCACAGAGCATGGCAGCACGCACAGATGCTGCAGTCATGAAGGCATGCTTCCCATTGAGACCTCAGCCACTTGCCGCATGGAACATCAAGCACAGAGTGTGGCAGCACGGAGCAGTCATCCGATAGCAAGTGGGCATCAGGCCAAGTGGTGAGCTTTCCGTCCGAGGAAGCTCAGAGTTGTAGAGTGGGGTCGCGGAAAATCACCACAGGACAGATCACCACGGGGCAGATCACCACAGGGCAGATCACCACAGGGCAGATCACCACAGGGCAGATCACCACATGGCAGATCACCACAGGGCAGATCACCACATGGCAGATCACCACATGGCAGATCACCACATGGCAGATCAGCACAGGGCAGATCAGCACAGGGCAGATCACCACAGGGCAATGTGAAGATTGTAAAGTGAATCATTAGCTTCATTAGGAAAGAAGGGGGCATACATAGGATGCAAGAGAAGCTTGGAAGGGAAGGGGAGGGATGTGTTGTTTGGGGGAGTAGGCCAACCTATGGACCATTGGGGTAGGATGGCCACACTTGGAGAGTGGGCCGACCTATCGCCTTTTGGGGTAAGTTGGCAACACTTGGGGAAGTGTTGCCAACCAATGACCCATTGGGTTGGGTTGGCAACATTCCCAAAGTGTTGCCAACTTTAGGGACCAATGGGTGCATTTGGGGGCTCCACCACAATTGGGTTGGATTGGCAACCCAAAGTGCAAGTCTACACCCCAAAGTTGGGTGTAGGCCTACAAGGCAAGCTACACCCATAGTTGGGTGTAGCGCCAACCCCTCTTATACTTAGCATGCTATACACACATTTCTAACAGGCAGATCACCACAGGGCAGATCACCACAGGGCAGATCACCAGGGGCGTGTCTGCTGGAGCTTCCCCTGCCACCTCTCTCTTATACAGCAACTCGCTTTTGAGTCGTCAGCCTGTCCTGTAACCCTGCTCTCAAGGCTATAAAGCTCGGTCTATGTACCCGCCACATCAGAAGGTGCAACTGTTCCTCTCCTTCCACACCGGTGCTGTGCCGCACGCAACCACGGGCTAAAATCGTCTCAGCTGATGCCAATGAGGCGTAGAGCCAAAAAGGACGCCTCAAAGGATCTGCTTGAAAGTGAGCTTGGGTACATCTTACCTGGTAGTAGTAGGTGGTGCAGTAGCTGCAGCAAAACAAGTGCAGCTGCAATGAGCTCTTTGCAACTCACCTTAACGAATGTAGCACTGTACCTGCAGCATGGGCACCCCACCTGCAGCATGGGCACCATGTAAAAGTGCGGCACGAGGAAGTAATCGGTGTAGAGCGTGGCGAAGCGTGCTGCTGCCATGGCCTGCTGCTCCACCTCACAGAACATGCCCCACGTGTCCGCCTTGGAGCTACCCGTGGGTGAGAGGAGAGGAGGGAGTGGAACGATAAGCGAGAAATGGAAGGTGGGGGGGATGAGGGGGTGTGGAGAGCAAGCAAGGAGGGCATGCATGCACGGGGTGAGCAGGAACAGGTGCTGCTCATGCACGGGGTGAGCAGGAGCAGGTGCTGCTCATGCAAGGGTGAGCAGGAGCAGGTGCTGCTCATGCACGGGGTGAGCAGGAGCAGGTGCTGCTCATGCACGGGGTGAGCAGGAGCAGGTGCTGCTCATGCACGGGGTGAGCAGGAGCAGGTGCTGCTCATGCACGGGTTGAGCAGGAGCAGGTGCTGCTCATGCATGTGTTGAGCAGGAGCAGGTGCTGCTCCATTGAGATCCGAACCTCGCCATGGAGTTTCCTCCTTATGAGCCACAAAGAATACATGCGCAGCATGCTGGCAGCAGCAAGAGCTCCATGTGCTTGCTGACGTCACTCACTCCTATGACATGTGCATGCCGGCGTTACCAAGTTTAAAAAATGTCGGTAAAATAAGGTCCGTTTTGTACAGTTAACTTTTTTTATTTTTATATACATATATATATCGGCCGCTTTTTTTAAACAGAGAAAAAGAAGACGTCGGATAGAATTCCAAATATTGCTATAAACGGAAACTTGCAAGAAAAGGCTAAAAATTGTGCTTATTAATCTGATGGATTACGCTTCCTCCTGCTCGACGACTGTATAAGACACCTACATAATTATATGACTGTTTTGTACCATAACCACATTTACGGTAAATTTCAGGAAAAACGAACATTATTTTTTACCCTGAACATCACTCACTCCCATGATATGTGCATGCTGACGTCACTCACTCCCATGACATGTACATGCTGACGTCACTCACTCCCATGACATGTGCATGCTGACGTCATGGCCATCCCATCCATCGACGATGCCTCGATTGCGTGCCGGCGACCTGTGCACCGTCTGGGATATGGTGCTGGGGGCGGGGGGTGGGGGTGGGGCAGGTGTGATGGGGTGCACGACGTGGCGAGGGTAATTGGGAGGGAAAGAAGGAAATCGTGCAAGGAGGGCATGTGAGGAGGGCATGTGAGGAGGGCATGTGAGGAGGGCATGTGAGGAGAGCATGTGAGGAGAGCATGTGAGGAGAGCATGTGAGGAGAGCATGTGAGGAGAGCATGTGAGGAGAGCATGTGAGGAGAGCATGTGAGGAGAGCATGTGAGGAGAGCATGTGAGGAGAGCATGTGAGGAGAGCATGTGAGGAGAGCATGTGAGGAGAGCATGTGAGGAGAGCATGCGAAAGACAGCGGTGCGGAGGGGACGTGCAGACCCGGTGCATGCCTTAGAGGTGGACAGCACAGCACACAAGTACAGAGCCAACCTCAGAGGAGTCGGAGGGGTGCAGAGCAGAGCAGAACAGTACTGAGGCACAGGGTAGCACCCAGGTTGCATGCATGGGGTACTGTGCACCCAGCTTGCATGGCATGGGGACTCACTTGAAGGCGTCGAGCGGGATGGTCCAGGAGGAGCCGGGGAATGGCTCGCAGAAGAAGCGGCAGAGGAAGGAGTCGGGCGGGATGATGAGCGTGCGGTTGGTGAGTAGTGAGTAGGAGAAGGCCGAGATGAGCGCCATTATGCGATTGCCCACCCCTGCACACATGTAGCACACAGGAGGAGGCGGGGAAGGGTTCGCAGAAGAATTGGAAGAGGAAGGAGTTGGGCGGAATGAGGAGCGTGCGGTTGGTGAGCAGCGCGTAGGAGAAGGCTGAGACGAGCGCCATTATGCGATTGCCCACCCCTGCACCCGTGTAGCGGGGGAAGGCACGGCACAGGTGGGGAAAGGGATTTGAGGGGCGCATGCAGAGGACGCCAGCAACCATCCTCACCAGTGGCATAATGGCCTTACATACACACCAATGGACGGACTTGAGCTGCTTTCTCACACGCTTCTTTGCACCCCGCTCAGCCTTCCATTTGCTCTCGGGAGCTTTCTTAGCGCATGCATGTGCACACTACACCACGATTCCCAGTAGCTCTGGGCCGTCACATATTTCCAGCGCGCACCATACAGAACAAACGAGTGTGCCGGTGCATCGCGCAAAGCTTGCGATAGCCGGGAGCAGGTGCTGCGTGGGATCCAGTCAGGATTGGGACCCCACATTTATCTTCGTCCCATCAGATTTTGAGAAGTATCAACAACTTGTGTCTCTCCGGCTAATAGACATGATCAATTGAGGCGAGTTTTAGCTCGACTCGCTGGCTCGACTCGACTTTGGGTCGAGTCGAGTCAGTTATTTTTTTTTCCTGACTCGAGTAGAGTCGAGTCGAGTCGAATTGAGGAGAAATCTCGATGCATCGCCCGACTCGACTTTGGACAGTCTGGTGAGCCACGAGTCGGCGAGTCGGCTGACTCGAGGGCCACCAATTTTATCCACGTGGGTTCCCGTTGTCAATCCCCCCTCCTTTCCTCATGCAATTTCCCTCGTCACTGAATCTCCGACCATCACTCACATTCCGCTTGGCACGCAAATCCCCCCCCGACACTCAATTTCCGCCTGTCACGCAAATCCCCCCGTCACCCAATTTCGGGTGCGCATCAATTTACCTGTGCGGAAAGGGGAAGAAACGGAATTTCGGCATTCCTACCTTGCATGCAGGCTACGAATCATGACACAGCTTTTGGGGCCCTTGACAACGCTTAAAGGTAAAGTCGGGTCAAGACTGACTTGCGAGTTTATGACTCGTGCTCGAGTCAAGGCCTGACTCGACTTCAGAAGTCGAGCACGAGTCTGCAATTTCAGAAAACTGACTCGACTATGGCTCGACTCGACTCGACTCGACGCTACTCCCGACTTGACCGCGAATCGAGGTGACTCGACTCGACTCGACTCGTGATCATGTCTACCGGCTAACATATATTTTCGTCGCTTACCATGGCGGGCAGGCGGCATATAGAAGAGATACTTGCAGTTCCCCAGCCCATCAATGCCGTCCTTCCACCCCATCGACCTGCCCCCTCCACCCCCCACCACAAAGCAATTGATGGGCCGATAGGTGCACACACAGATGGGTGATGCGAGAAAGGCGTGGAATAGCAACAGCAAAGGCGCGGAATAGCAACAGCAAAGGCGCGGAATAGCAACAGCAAAGGCGCGGAATAGCAACAGCAAAGGCGCGGAATAGCAACAGCAAAGGCGCGGAATAGCAACAGCAAAGGCGCGGAATAGCAACAGCAAAGGCGCGGAATAGCAACAGCAAAGGCGCGGAATAGCAACAGCAAAGGCGCGGAATAGCAACAGCAAAGGCGCGGAATAGCAACAGCAAAGGCGCGGAATAGCAACAGCAAAGGCGCGGAATAGCAACAGCAAAGGCGCGGAATAGCAACAGCAAAGGCGCGGAATAGCAACAGCAAAGGCGCGGAATAGCAACAGCAAAGGCGCGGAATAGCAACAGCGAAGGCGCGGAATAGCAACAGCAAAGGCGCGGAATAGCAACAGCAAAGGCGCGGAATAGCAACAGCAAAGGCGCGGAATAGCAACAGCAAAGGCGCGGAATAGCAACAGCAAAGGCGCGGAATAGCAACAGCAAAGGCGCGGAATAGCAACAGCAAAGGCGCGGAATAGCAACAGAAAAGGCGCGGAATAGCAACAGCAAAGGCGCGGAATAGCAACAGCAAAGGCGCGGAATAGCAACAGCAAAGGCGCGGAATAGCAACAGCAAAGGCGTGGAATAGCAACAGCAAAGGCGCGGAATAGCAACAGCAAAGGCGCGGAATAGCAACAGCAAAGGCGCGGAATAGCAACAGAAAAGGCGCGGAATAGCAACAGCAAAGGCGTGGAATAGTAACAGCAAAGGGCGGAATAGCAACAGCAAAGGGCGGAATCGCAACAGCAAAGGCGCGGCGGGATAGCAACAGCAAAGGCGCGGAATAGCAACAGCAAAGGCGCGGAATAGCAACAGCAAAGGCGCGGAATAGCAACAGCAAAGGCGCGGAATAGCAACAGCAAAGGCGCGGAATAGCAACAGCAAAGGCGCGGAATAGCAACAGCAAAGGCGCGGAATAGCAACAGCAAAGGCGCGGAATAGCAACAGCAAAGGCGCGGAATAGCAACAGCAAAGGCGCGGAATAGCAACAGCAAAGGCGCGGAATAGCAACAGCAAAGGCGCGGAATAGCAACAGAAAAGGCGCGGAATAGCAACAGCAAAGGCGCGGAATAGCAACAGCAAAGGCGCGGAATAGCAACAGCAAAGGCGCGGAATAGCAACAGCAAAGGCGTGGAATAGCAACAGCACAAAGGCGCGGAATAGCAACAGCAAAGGCGCGGAATAGCAACAGCAAAGGCGCGGAATAGCAACAGCAAAGGCGCGGAATAGCAACAGCAAAGGCGCGGAATAGCAACAGCAAAGGCGCGGAATAGCAACAGCAAAGGCGCGGAATAGCAACAGCAAAGGCGCGGAATAGCAACAGCAAAGGCGCGGAATAGCAACAGCAAAGGCGCGGAATAGCAACAGCAAAGGCGCGGAATAGCAACAGCAAAGGCGCGGAATAGCAACAGCAAAGGCGCGGAATAGCAACAGCAAAGGCGCGGAATAGCAACAGCAAAGGCGCGGAATAGCAACAGCAAAGGCGCGGAATAGCAACAGCAAAGGCGTGGAATAGCAACAGCAAAGGGCGGAATAGCAACAGCAAAGGGCGGAATCGCAACAGCAAAGGCGCGGCGGAATAGCAACAGCAAAGGCGCGGAATAGCAACAGCAAAGGCGCGGAATAGCAACAGCAAAGGCGCGGAATAGCAACAGCAAAGGCGCGGAATAGCAACAGCAAAGGCGCGGAATAGCAACAGCAAAGGCGCGGAATAGCAACAGCAAAGGCGCGGAATAGCAACAGCAAAGGCGCGGAATAGCAACAGCAAAGGCGCGGAATAGCAACAGCAAAGGCGCGGAATAGCAACAGCAAAGGCGCGGAATAGCAACAGCAAAGGGCGGAATAACAACAGCAAAGGCGCGGAATAGCAACAGCAAAGGCGCGGAATAGCAACAGCAAAGGCGCGGAATAGCAACAGCAAAGGCGCGGAATAGCAACAGCAAAGGCGCGGAATAGCAACAGCAAAGGCGCGGAATAGCAACAGCAAAGGCGTGGAATAGCAACAGCAAAGGGCGGAATAGCAACAGCAAAGGGCGGAATCGCAACAGCAAAGGCGCGGCGGAATAGCAACAGCAAAGGCGCGGAATAGCAACAGCAAAGGCGCGGAATAGCAACAGCAAAGGCACGGAATAGCAACAGCAAAGGCGCGGAATAGCAACAGCAAAGGCGCGGAATAGCAACAGCAAAGGCGCGGAATAGCAACAGCAAAGGCGCGGAATAGCAACAGCAAAGGCGCGGAATAGCAACAGCAAAGGGCGGAATAGCAACAGCAAAGGCGCGGAATAGCAACAGCAAAGGCGCGGAATAGCAACAGCAAAGGCGCGGAATAGCAACAGCAAAGGCGTGGAATAGCAACAGCAAAGGCGCGGAATAGCAACAGCAAAGGCGTGGAATAGCAACAGCAAAGACGTGGAATAGCAACAGCAAAGACGAGGAATAGCAACAGCAGAGGTATGGGCGAGGTATGGAGGATGATTGGATTAGAAACAGCAGATGCTTGGATTAGAAACAGCAGAGGCATGGAATCGGAGAGCTCACGGGTTGTGATAAAAGGCTCACGGGTTGTGATAAAAGGCTCACGGGTTGTGATAAAAGGGTAACGGGTTGTGATAAAAGGCTTGCGGGTTGTGATAAAAGGCTCACGGGTTGTGATAAAAGGCTCACGGGTTGCGATAAAAGGCTCACGGGTTGTGATAAAAGGCTCACGGGTTGTGATAAAAGGCTCACGGGTTGCGATAAAAGGCTCACGGGTTGTGATAAAAGGCTCACGGGTTGCGATAAAAGGCTCACGGGTTGTGATAAAAGGCTTACGGGTTGTGATAAAAGGCTCACGGGTTGCTGTAGAAGGCTCACGGGTTGCTGTAGAAGGCGTGCCAGTCGTGGATCTGAGTGCAGCGGCGGTGCATCCGACGGTACTCCGACAGACGCCGCCTCAACGCCATCGATGGCGGCAGCTGGCGGTCAGGGCGCTGCCTTGCACCCCGAGGGGGAGGCGCAACACAGAGGCCATGCAACGAGGTGATTCAAAAGTCAGAGGGGGAGGCGCAATGCAGAGGCCATGCAGACGGGCGGGGTGAATGGGTGCGTGAGTGAGGCTTGAGACGGAGGGGACAGGAAGAGGAGGAGAAGAGGCGAGGAGGGAACGGTGAAACAAGAGAAAAGGCAAGAGCGAAATCTAAACATGACATGCATGCATCTCACCGTGACATACATGCATCTCACCGTGACATACATGCATCTCACCGTTACATACATGCATCTCACCTCGACATACATGCATCTCACCGTGATATGCATGCATCTCACCGTGACATACATGCATCTCACCGTGACATACATGCATCTCACCGTGACATACATGCATCTCACCGTGACATACATGCATCTCACCGTGACATACATGCATCTCACCGTGACATACATGCGCATCTCCCATTGGCTCCAACATCTGTCTCCTGCCCGCCGCGTGTGCCGTTTAACTCCGTCCGCCCACACCCCAGGGCCCGCCATGCCGCCACGCGCGCCCACGTGCATGACCGCATGCCCATCGCTGCTCACGTCACTGCCACCACCCCCCTCACTGCCTTGCCCATCTGCCAACCTGCGTCGCCCACCCGTGCCTCGCCTGCCCTCCCCTCGCCTGCGCGCCTCTCCGCCCACTGAAGCTCCACGTGTCTCCACCACCTCCCTTCCCCGCGACGCTTCCCACCTCCCCTCCCGCTTCCGCTCCCCCTGCCCCTCCCACCGCGCGCCCCTTGGCGACCGCCGCCGCGTCCCCTTCTCGTCGCCGCCACTCGCGTCCAGCTGGGACTGCCGGCCTGGCAACCACCCACCCACATCGTCGCCATCAGCGCTTTCACTCTCACCGTCACCTCCGTCACCTCCGTCACCTCCGTCACCGCCACCTCCGTCACTGTCACCTCCGTCACTGTCACCTCCGTCACCGTCACCTCCGTCCCTGTCACCTCCGTCATTGTCACCTCCGTCACTGTCAGCGCCTTCGAGTAATCCCCCAATCACACGATCACTCACGACATCCCCCCTCGTGCTCGTTTCAACCTCATACCCCTTCCAAACATCATCGTTCCCACCCACGCGCCATCCACGGTCATCCCGCGCCTCACCGTGCGAACCATTTCGCCGCCATACCCCAATAAACTCGCCCACTCTCGCTCTCGCTAACGCCCCGCTCGCGACGGGCCCTTCACCAGCGGAGGCGGCGACGGCGGCGGCGGCGACCATAAGCAGCACCGCCGCAACCCGCGTGACAGCCATCACAAACATGTAAATCGGCAATGTGTTAGAGGCACATTGACAGTCGCGAATTTCTGGGTAGTTCACGGCAATGCTGCTGCTGATAGCGCAATGCCGTCACGGCAATGTCTTCCGATGGCATTAGCGGAGCGTGTGGCTGCTAATATTAACAATGGAGAATTCAAGTTTTTCGAGCTATACTCGCTTCCCGGATGTTGTCACATCCCGGAAACCCTAATTACCATCGCTGCGCCTCCCTGGTTGCAAATTCAAGCGCTCGCTTGCACAAGAGGAACTGCGCGTGGTGCGACTGCCAGTGAGTTCACCGTGCCGGTCACCAGGCTGAGTGCGCCGTGCATTCTGGGGGAGCTACACTCGAAGCCGTCTACGCGTGACCTCCGCGCTCACGGTTATGCTGTTCAGCACGCCGGCTGTGGAACGAAAGGCGCGGCGAAGGCACTGCTGCCTAACGCCAGGTGGAAGTGAGGGCTCGTTCATTGGGCTGCTGTGTGCCTGCTCCGATACATGTCCAAAAAATGCGGGTATCAAAACATAATCGAAAAGACTCCACAATTTTGCAAGTGGTTATTTTTCATTATTATTTGGCTCTGAACCTACTGACGAGTTCCGGATCACCCATTTTGTGCTCATCCTTTTGATTGCGCTGCTCCCAAACAGGGCAGTAATGAACGGGATGCAAACCAGCCAAGTATATTCCACAATGACTTCATTACAATATTGTACCATATTTCGAACCGCATATCATTTCTACACTATCTTCAGTCCAGCCACACCAATCTTCTGTACATCGGCCAACACAAGCACAGGCATCAGCGCCCACCCCACCCTCCACACTCCCCTCGGTCTGGGCGACAGCAGTCCATGGCACAGTGATGGGTCGGCAGCCGTGGTGCCCTCAAAGGCTTTCCCACAGCTGCGTCATGAACACTGCGCATGGCCGCACTGCTGCAGGCATGATAGTCACACCATGGCACCACTGCATCGCTGCATGATGCCGTGCTATGGGTGCAACCATGCCTGCCTGCATGCATGTGCGGTTGACTCTGCCGCCCAGCCACCACTGCCAGCAGCCGGCACAGCAGCCGCTGCTGGTGGCGAGATCGCGGCACTCCACCCTCACGCACTCAAGCCCATGGCCTCACCACACAACACATGTGGTGTGAGTGGCTCCACGCACACACATGCACGTGCAGCAGCGGCACATGAGACGAGCACGTGGCTGCACTGACACCACCCTCCCATCTCATGACATGAGTTGAGTGGGGCTGGTATCAGCGGCAGCAGGCGGAGTGCCTTACCGACCTCAGGCACCCGCCGCAGAAGCACCTGGGAGAGTGGAAAGCAGACAGGAAAGGGAGAGTGGAAAGCGGACAGGAAAGGGAGAGAGAGGTGGACCGGGAGGAGGGCATGTAAGGGAAGCAGGTATTCTATTGTGAAACAGCAGACATGCACACAAAACCACAAAGGAGGGGTTACGGGGTGGTGGAAGAAGGAGGGAGGGAAGGGGGGGCTCGAGTAAAAGAAGTGGCAAGCAGTTATTGGCAGAGAGAAGCTTGAATCAGGAGTCCGCTCATCCCTCCTTCCCTGAATCCCTCCTGTGCAGAATCCACACACGCCCATCCATGGCCCACCGATACACCAACTCACAATGGTCAATGCCCCGCACGTTGCTCATCCCTCCAACTCCCCTCCTAGGACCGCCCCCTCCTCCTCCGCCTCCCCCTCCCCCACCCCCTCCGCCCCCAGAGCTGCCCCCCCATGCGCCCTGTCCCCCCCCTCCTCTGCCCTTGGTCTTCTTGACCCCCGCCGCGTCAGGCTGTGCGCGCATGCACACAAGACGTGGAGGTAAGGCGAAGAAAAAGGGGACGAGAAGGAAAGAGAGTGAGTTGCTTAGAGTTACCACAAGCTTGAGTGCACCCGCGACGCTCTGTAACTCTATCGTGATCAGCTGGCAGCGAGCCAGTGCGAGGCCAGCAAGGGCGGGCGAGAGGGAGTGAAAAGAGGAGGACTGCAATGGAGGGCATGATGAGAAGCTGGGATGGGGGGAATATCCAGAGGGGGGAGTACAGCGAACGGGAAGAGTGGTATGAAGAAGTAATTCTGCGCCAACACAGCTTACAGCCATTTCTACGCAAGATTGGCTGTCGGTTTTTTTCTAACACAAGAGTGGCGAGAAGGAGAAGGGTGATTTGCTGTCAACATTCCCTTAGCACACTCCCTACTGCACTCGTGCTTTTCAGTGTTTCTTTAGCAATTACCTGGCGAACGCGAGGGAAATGCGAGGGCGAGAGAGCGATAGAAGAGGCGGACTGTGATGGAAAGCATGGCGACAAACTGGGAAAAGGAAAGCTTAGGAGAGTGTACCGAGAAGAGGGTGTAGAAGAACATCTTGATGATTCGGAAGAGGCGGCGGAAGAAGTCGACGTAGAAGGCGAGCTGCCATGGCGACAGGCGCTCCACCACCTCGCCTGGTGGGGAGAGACGGGTTGGGGAGGAAATGAGGAACGGTAAGGAGGCGAGAGGACAGAACGAGAAGAAGGATCAACACACGTGGCGAGCTGCCGTGGCGACAAACGCTCCACCACCTCGCCTGGTGGTGGGAGGGAAGGAGGGGAGGGTAGGAGAAGAGGAGGGGAGGGGAGGAGGTAGAGGGAGGGAGGAAGCGGACGGTGAAACAGGGAGAAGGACGAGATTGGCATGGGAGGTGGCAGGGTTGAACAACCGTGGTGCGTTGCGGTGCAGTGCCGCGTCGCTGACAATAAGTGCGCACTGCAGGCGGTCGGTGCAATGGTCCCCCTCCCAGACCGCTGGTCCCTAGTCCTCACGTCCCCCACCTTTCCCGCCTCCCCCTTTTCCTGCTGAACACCTCATTTGTGATGCGCGTTCAATCGACTACAAGGAGGAACCAGGGCGAGGGCGGGGGAGAATGAGGCATGCAAGAGTGAGCAGGAGGGAGCGGAGGAGCGGAGGACGAGTCGCGCGGGAAGGGAACGGCGACGAGACGAGCGCGGAGGGCGTCGGCTGTGGCGCAGAGGCGCTGCTGAAGATGTCAATTGAGCAGGTGCGCGCATCGGCGCTATACAGAACCAGACGTAGACGTACAGGCAAGACGGAGACGTGATGTGTGTGGGTTTCCCTGGAGGGCCCCCACTGACAACCGCAGTGGGATACTGGAAAGGTTAGAAACGCGTGGTGGGAGTGGGAACGGAATGGCGCGGGGGACAGCGTGACAGTTGCGGGCGAGTCGCCCATGGTTCACGCGGCGCTGCTGCGGTGGTTAGAGAGAACCTGGGCGGCGGAGTGACGACGGGTGGCCGCGGTCTGCAGGACAGCACGAGCGCGCAGGCAGCGACGAGACAAGCGTCAACAGTTTCCTCCCGTGAGGGAAGAAGTGGTTGACGAGAAGGCGAGCAGCGCGGTGAGCGCAGACGACACGGTCACTCGCTTGCGATTCGTCTCCTCGCCGCACGCTCACCGCTGAGGTGGCTTTTTGGTCTACTCAAAAGTCAACGCCGGTTGCGTGGGGTCATACCTCTGGCTCGCTTCTGACACTCCGTCCTTCCCTTCAGTAACAAATAAAATCCGCGCAAGAGACGTCGAGAGCGCCAGCACGCTACGCTACGAGGCCCACCTTGTCGGATGTACGGCATGGCTACTGTCGCCACAGCAGTGCGGCGCACAGGTCGAGCAGAATAAGAAACACACAAGTTGAGAACCCTAATAGCTTACGAGGCGCACCTTGTCGGATGTACGGCATGGCTACTGTCGCCGCAGCACCGCGTGAATCATGAGCGAGTCGCGCGGGATGCACAGGTCGAGCAGCGCCAACTAGCTCGAGTGCGATCGACGCGCGCAAAATTCGGTGTTTGAGCTGCACGCACGCCTCGCTCACTTCACGCGACGGGCACTGCTGGAGTTGTTTGGGGCAGCTACTACGGCAAGAGGACTCAAGTCAAGCAACCTGTGATACCCAAATTTAGGTCACGCTTGTATATGCGAGCAACAATTGTAAGGTGGGGCTTGTTCTGGGAGGTGTGGTGTGGTAATCTGTAAGTTTTAGGTGTTGGAGGGAGACAAGCAGGGTTCAGTACGGCTGAGCTGTGGTGATGTTGGCTTTCGAGTGGAGCAGCAGCCAACAACGTGGCATCGCGTCGTTGATTGGTCAACCCAGTGCGGGACACGGTTTTTCAGTTGTGAAGCCGTCCTCGTTACATCGCAAGCATTTTGTACACTGTTATTTTTTCCTGCGTTTATGACTATGTTCGTATCAACGCGCATAAGCATGCGATTTTTGTTGAACGGCCGTTTCTTTCACATGTAAGTCCCACAACACGCTCCGTCTCCTGTCATCTGCTGTGCGCTTGGTACCAGTGTTTGCAACGAGTTAAATCGCGACTCCAGGAGTCCTGCGACGATTCCTGCGCGCAATCAGAGCCGCATATCATGCGAACCTAGCATGTTCCCATTCTGAGAGACAGCCTCAGCATGGCCTCAACCCTCCACTGGTCAGCGTGTCGCACGCAGCCGCTATGTCGCACAGAGTCGGAAAAGTGTCGCACAGACTCATTATGTCGCACGCGTTCGTCGTTTCTCTCCCGTATGCCCTCGTCTCGCATCGTCCCGTTCCGCTCATCTTCCCGTCGACCCGCTATTGTCATCCTCGCTGCCAGCAATGGTCGCAGACACCACCGCCGACGAGAGCCCGAGCCACAAAGACACGTGGCCGATCGTGATAGGACGGCCGCTGATAAGGCGGCTGCTGATAGGCTGAAATCGTTGGAGGGGAGGAGCGGGGTGGAAGGGGGAAGGGGTGGTAAGGCGCCGGGTGGGCGAAGCGGCGGAGGAGGGAGCAGGAGTGGCGACGGGGGGAGGAGCGAGGAGGAAGACGTATGGAGGATGGAGCTGGATCTCGGGCAGGTGAAACAAAACGCGCTGCAAGCAGCTGCCCGGCTGAAAACTTTGCGGGTTGAGGATGTGGGGGAGACGGTCAAGATAGGGGCGGATGCGGTGCAGAGCGGTGGTAAACGGTTGCTGACGTCAGCAGGGGTGTTGGGGGAGCGAGCTTCTGATAATATGCGGTGAGGGCGAGGGGGAAAGAGAGTGGGGAGGGGGAAGGAGCGAGAGGGGGGCGAGTTGGGGGAGAGGGGTGGAGGACGCGAGAGGGTGAGGAAAGAAGGAGGGGGAAAAGGGGAGGGCGCTAGGGAAGTGTGCGAGGATAATTGGGGGAAGAATGGGGGTTGGAAGGGCGTGAGGACGGGCAGAAGGAGCAGGCGGGATGTGAGGTTGAGGTGGGATGGGCGGAGAGGGGTGGGATGGGCGGAGAGGGGTCGGATGGGCGGAGAGGGGTGGGGGCGCAGATAGTGATGAATGGAGGAGGGTGGCTGCGGCGCAAGGCGATGGCTTGAGGAACCGGTAGGGCGGATGTGCGTGAGGGGAGAGGGGGGCAGTGCGTGAGGGAGGAGGGGGGTGGGGTTGTGCGTGAGGGGGTAGGGCGGTGCGTGGGGGGGTAAGGGGGGTGGGACGGAGTCAGACCAATGGTTGGTGAGTGGCACATGGAGGCCAGTGTGAATGTGAGTGGCACATGGAGGCCAGTGTGAATGTGAGTGGCACATGGAAGCCAGTGTGAATGTGAGTGGCACATGGAAGCCAGTGTGAATGTGAGTGGCACATGGAGGCCAGTGTGAATGTGAGTGGCACATGGAGGCCAGTGTGAATGTGAGTGGCACATGGAAGCCAGTGTGAATGTGAGTGGCACATGGAAGCCAGTGTGAATGTGAGTGGCACATGGAAGCCAGTGTGAATGTGAGTGGCACATGGAGGCCAGTGTGAATGTGAGTGGCACATGGAGGCCAGTGTGAATGTGAGTGGCACATGGAGGCCAGTGTGAATGTGTGGAATTCAAGGAGAGCAACTTCTCCTTGCTGCTTTCTTGCCTCTTCTTTCTCCATCTATTGAGGGCAGGCCTTTCCTTGCCTTCCCTTCCCTTCTCTGTTGAGCCACCCTTCACTGTCGCTTGCGTCTCTCCTCCTCCATCATCTCCTCTTCCACCCTCTCTCTCCTCTTCCACCCTCTCTCTCCTCCTACATCCCTCCCCCTTTCGTCCACCTCTTGCCGCACTTTCCTTCCTCTCTTATTCTGTTTCCAGCCCCTCCCCACCTATACCTCTCTTTTCCCTCCCCCCCACCACCTGCAGGCGCTCTTTCTCCTCGCTCACCTCCTGTGTCTCTGTCTCCCCCTCTGGCCGCCTCTCCCTCTCCCTCCGCCCCTCCTCCCTCCGCCCCCTCCTCCTCCTCGCCTCCCTCCTCTTCCTCCTCCTCTTCCGTTCCCGCATCCTCCCCCTTGTCTCCGCCCTCCTCTCTCTCCTCCTCTCCCTCCCCCTCCTCTTCTTCCGCCTCCTGGGATTCCGCTGGGCGGAGGGGGACTTAAGCTGGGGGGAGTGGGGGTGGGGGAGCGGCGGGGGGAGGGGCAGGGGAAGGCGGGTGGTGCGGGACCGGTCGATGGGGGGAAAGGAGGTGGTGGCGTCTGAGGGGTGGCGCAAGTGGTGGGAGGGGGTGGGCGGAGGGGGGGAGAGTGGGCGGGATGGAGGGAAAGGGATGGGTGTGAGAGAGGGGGGTGTGCGGAGGTGGAGGAGGGGAGGAGGGGCGAGGCAGAGAGGGGTGAGTCCGCTGGATATACCCGCGGAGACATCGCGATCGGAGAGAGAGCTGAGGGCGTTGGGGCTGCTGGCAGGGGAGGCGGGGAGTGGAGGGCGCGCGGGGAGACTGACTGGGCGGCAGGAGGAGCCGGCGTGGTGGAGGGAGGCGTGCATTGGCGCAGCAGGGATGGCCGCCTCGCCTGCTGTAGCGCCTGATATGGTAGCAGCCGCAGCATCAGCAGGAGGAGCTGGAAGAGAGGGGAGTGCAGCAGCGGGTGGGGCGTGGAGCGTGGCGAGGGAGGGCAGCGAGGAGGCGCATCTTGTTGTGCAACGTGAGGGCTATTCTCCACCTGCGTGGTCCCTCCCTGCTGTGTTTTCCACTTGTTATCCTCATCCCTGTGACTCCCGCTCCTGCTGCTGCATTTCCCCCTCCCCCTCCCCCCGACGTCTTTCTCTTCCGACCATCCACATTCCTGTCTTCTCTACCGCACCATCCCAATCACCCATCACCACCAGGCATGTTGAGTCAGCGGCTGTTGGGTCAAGATTTCAACGCCTCAGACATTCTCCAGGTGCGCACATGGCATGCATGCATGTGGCATGCACGTGTGGCATGCACGTGTGGCATCCATGTGGCATGCATGTGGCATGCACGTGACATATGCGTGCTCCTTTACTCTACCGATCATGCTCTGTTAGTTCACCCCATTCCTTGCAACCCTCCCATTCCCTGGCCATGGGGTCAGACAGTGGCCATGGGGTCAGACAGTGGCCATGGGTTGAAACAGTAGCCGACACTTGCTCATACACTGCGTAACTATATCGCAGAGCAGATCAAACACCTTCTCCCACGAACTCACCATCCTCCCCCCCCCCCCCCCCAACCCCCTCTCTCCGCCCCCCAAACCCCAGCGCCTTCAGCTCTACACCTGGTCTCTCCCAACTCGTATTCCCTACCCCCCCTTCCCCCTCCCTCCTCAGCTGTACACGGCGTATCGTCGCAGTGGGGCCACGGTGGGCATTGATTCGGACAACAGCCGCGACGCGCTCTTCAGAGCTGCCATCAACACCGCCTTCTCTGCCGCTGCCGGGTGGGTGCACTCCTCTCTCATCCCTTCTCTACCGCCACCAGGTCACTGCATGCCTCCTTCGCCTCCTTCACCTCACCCCTTCGCCTCCTTCGCCTCCCATGGCCACCAGTCTCCCCTGTTAGATGCAGACCCCCCATTAACGCCACTGCCAATGCTGCTGTTGGGGATGATCTCTTTCTCCCCGCCTAGAATGAAAGATGCCACTCCGCCCCTCCTTCACCTCCTTGCACACGCCCCACTCATGCTCCCCACTCATGCTCCCCACTCATGCTCCCCACTCATGCTCCCCACTCATGCTTCCCACTCATGCTCCCCCGCATGCGGCATAGCCACCCTTCCACGACCTTTCTTCCTGCCATTCCCACACTGCTGTTCCACTCGCCAACTTAAAATCATTAGTCTATTCAAAGCCGCCATTCGCACCGCCTTCTCGTCCGCCACCAACTGACTGCATGCTCTCCTTGCATCCCAAGCCTCTTTTAAGCATCAAACCCTTTCCAATGCTGCTGGGTGAATCCTCACGAATGTTATTATATCCCCTCTCCACCACTAATTTCGCCTCCTTGCATGCTCCTTTTGCTTCCCCTCATGTTCCCCTGTTCTCCCTCCGTGCTATTTCTGTCTCCTGCCATAGCTCCTTCCAGCCCATTCCCACCCTGCTGTTCCCATCGAAACACCAATACCTTCTCTCCTTGTTCCATCATCTGCCACTTTCCACCCTCCAGCGCCCCCCTCCCCGCCCTCCCTCCAGCGGACATCCCACTCTTCCTCGCCTGCCTGGCAGCAGCCGTCCGTCTGCCCTCTCCCCGCGCGCTCACCATGGTGCTCGCCGCCCTCGCTGCCCGCACCCGCTCCTCCTTCCTGCAGGCCTGGGTGAGATGCAGCCTTGGGTGAGACGCAGGTTTGGTTGAGAGGCAGGTTTGGGTGAGAGGCAGGTTTGGGTGAGAGGCAGGTTTGGGTGAGAGGCAGGTTTGGGTGAGAGGCAGGTTTGGGTGAGAGGCAGGTTTGGGTGAGAGGCAGGTTTGGGTGAGAGGCAGGTTTGGGTGAGAGGCAGGTTTGGGTGAGAGGCAGGTTTGGGTGAGAGGCATGCTGGGTGAGAGGCATGCTGGGTGAGAGGCATGCTGGGTGAGAGGCATGCTGGGTGAGAGGCATGCTGGGTGAGAGGCATGCTGGGTGAAGGGTGGGCTCGGGTGAAGGACAGGGTCAAGGGAGGTAGGTTAAAGCGAGGGTAGCCTCTTGCGGAGTAATGAAGGATTCGAAACGCAGCAAGCCGTGCGGTCACCGTTGAAACTTTCAGCTAAGTATGGGTGGGTTGCTTCGTAGGACTAGGAAAAAGGGTATGAATGAGGACTTGATAAGTCTCAAAGTAGAATTATTAAGTAGGCGTACGCGTTTCGGCCTGTGAGGCCTTCATCAGCGCCAGTTATGGGATTGGGGATGCGTATGGTGGCGATGGGCATGTGTGTGTTTGGCTGGTTCGTATAAACTCTAGAGATTATGCGCAATACGCTATAACCCCATAAGTGTATCTGCCAACATTGCATGTCACAACATACAGCATGCACCCTGCACCACATACCATGCACCACATGCTACATACCCACATCATACACCATGCATCACTGCACCACACGTCATGCATGCTGGCAGGCACTGGTGAAGCAGAATCGGCGCAGTGAGGCAGAGGAGGAGCTTCAACGCCTTGCCAGCATCGCCACCACCCTGCCCCCTCCTCCCAACTCGGTATGCCCTATTCGCAACGCCTTATTTCGTCCAACGTCCCCATGCCTCTTTCTTGCCCATACCGCTGCCTGAGCTGTGCCATATGCTACACCGCCGTCCCTACTGCTCTCACCTCTTGTTCCATGCCTGCGTGCATTGCACACCTGCAGGCAGAAATGGAGACGGTGGTGGCCAATACCACCACACTCAAATCCTCATCCCCCATCTCTGACGCCTCTACCCACTCGTCCCTCCAATCCCCCATCTCTGACGCCTCTACCCACTCGTCCCTCCAATCCCCCCTCTCTGACGCCTCTACCCACTCGTCCCTCCAATCCCCCCTCTCTGACGCCTCTACCCACTCGTCCCTCCAATCCCCCATCTCTGACGCCTCTACCCACTCGTCCCTCCAATCCCCCATCTCTGACGCCTCTACCCACTCGTCCCTCTAATTCCCCCTCTCTGACGCCTCTACCCACTCGTCCCTCCAATCCCCCCTCTCTGACGCCTCTACCCACTCGTCCCTCCAATCCCCCCTCTCTGACGCCTCTACCCACTCGTCCCTCTAATCCCCCCTCTCTGACGCCTCTACCCACTCGTCCCTCCAATCCCCCATCTCTGACGCCTCTACCCACTCGTCCCTCCAATCCCCCATCTCTGACGCCTCTACCCACTCGTCCCTCCAATCCCCCATCTCTGACGCCTCTACCCACTCGTCCCTCCAATCCCCCATCCCTGACGCCTCTACCCACTCGTCCCTCGAATCCCCCCTCTCTGACGCCTCTACCCACTCGTCCCTCCAATCCCCCCTCTCTGACGCCTCTACCCACTCGTCCCTCCAATCCCCCCTCTCTGACGCCTCTACCCACTCGTCCCTCCATTCCCCCCTCTCTGACGCCTCTACCCACTCGTCCCTCCAATCCCCCCTCTCTGACGCCTCTACCCACTCGTCCCTCCAATCCCCCCTCTCTGACGCCTCTACCCACTCGTCCCTCCAATCCCCCCTCTCTGACGCCTCTACCCACTCGTCCCTCCAATCCCCCCTCTCTGACGCCTCTACCCACTCGTCCCTCCAATTCCCCATCTCTGACGCCTCTACCCACTCGTCCCTCCAATCCCCCCCCCTCCCGGCCATGCCTGCCTGGCAGGCGGATATGGAGATGGTGGCGGCGGGGCCAACACCACCGCACTCAACTCCTGTTGCCCCCTTTTGGATGCCCCCAACTCCCCCCCCCCCCCCCCCTTCCCCCTCCGCTCGCCCCTCATCCCATCCTGCCCATGCCTGCATACAGTGCACACCGGCAGGCGGAGATGGAGATGGCGGCAGCGAGGCTGACGCCACTAACTTCCCGCTCTCCCCACTCTGACCCTTCCTTTCCCTCCCACCCATCACCTGTGTGTGCGTCATGCCTGGCAGGCGGAGATGGAGATGGTTGTGGCGGGGCTGGCACAGAGGATAAGCCCCCCATTCCACCGCTGTCTCACCCCAACCACCCACGCCTTCCTTGTCCCCGCCTTCCTTGTGCATCATGCCTGGCAGGCGGAGATGGAGATGGTGGCGGCGGGTCTAGCACAGAGGATAAGCCACGGGGAGAGGGAGGAGCTGCTGTGGGTCTACTGCAGGGCGGGCGGGAAGGACACCAGAGACGCCATGGCACGTGCGCTTGGCCTGTAGCAGCGTTTCTGTGCCCCCTCTTGCCGAGGTTGTTGGGCGGAGATGGAGATGGTTGCGGCGGGGCTGGCGCAGAGGATAAGCCATGGGTAGAGGGAGGAGCTGCTGTGGGTCTACTGCAGGGGGGAAGGAGACAAGAGACGCCATGGCACGTGCCCTTGGCCTGTAACAGTGTGACTTAGCCCCAACTCGTCAAGATTGGTGTGTGTAGCAAAGCCCAGAACAGAGGGCTATCACCTACCACGAGTGTCTTATAAAGTATTGCAGCGCATGTTTGACTTGTACACCTGGCCGCTACGAAGAAAATAAAAGCTCTGTTGTGAGTCATTTTACGGTAAAGCACCACCACCCAGATAGTGGAAAGCCTGAAATTCAGAGGTTCTGTATTTTCAGAACGAGTGCAGCATGAGGCAATTCATTATGCAGGTCCCCATACACAAGCCTTTTCAAGGTAAAGAAAACTGCCAGGTACAGACCATGCTCATTCACTCACACCACTTCCCAAACTGCAGAGATTGCCCAACCGCAGCTACAAGGTAAACATTTCCGACTAATTACGGGATGATTATATCTTGTTTTGTATCTCCTTGTAAGCGAATACGAAGCGATTCTTAAAGGGGAATTTTAGCAACGCCTCTGACATGAAGGGACAATTTCCTGCCCGAACTCACTGAAAGGTTCATTCGACTGCCAGCTGACGCTGGCAGTCGACTGACACAGCAAAGCCGACCACGGGCAAGGAAAAAAATTAACCCCACATGGAAGGCATGCCGGTCGCGATGGGGTTTAGTTTTTTTCGTCCCGCGGTCAGATTGCCAGCTCATTCCTCCAGCAGGTTTCCTCCAGCGTCAACGATCCGGAAACCCCAAGGTTCTATGTGGTCGTTCCTGGTCAACACGTGTGGGCGCGTGGTTCTTTCTTTTTCTTCCTCGAAACAATTTAGATTGCAAAGCGACCTACCTGAAACGTACCAAACCGAACTGCTAAATATTAGCGCGACTAAAAGATGGCTCATACGTTCACCAATATCTGGGACCTTAACTTTTTGCAACCAGTGATTGCTAGCAAGCCACCAGGAGTCTAGGAAGTACATAGCAGCTTCTAGCCGTGAGCAGGTTGAGCGAAGCGTTTTTCGTAGTGTGTGACGAACACAAGGTTCGCGTGAGGGTTGCGAAGGCACAGATGGTGCGTCGCGGCTGTTCGACCGGGCCCATGGGCCGCTTCAGGCGTGAATTTATTGGCGGCGCGCTCGCGCTGTGCCTCCTCACCTATTTTGCGTACTCTCCAGTCCGTGGTGTGATCATCGACCCCTCCCAAGGTCCGCATTTCGCCTCCGTTTCAGACTCTCCCCCCTTGAATCATGTCACCATGATGTCGCTGAAGTTGCCACCATTTCGCCGTCTCTACAAAATGTCAGAAGGAAAAGGAATGAAAAAACATTTCACGGGGATTGTTTGATGTTTTCCCCTGCCATCAATGCTTGTGGTTTATCATGATGAGTGCTGAACAGTTGAGGTATGTTCGAGGAATCATAACAACGTGTGCATGTGCAAACTTGAGTAGGCTCGGCAAGGAGTGCTTCAGCATGGTACATCTCAACGCCCCGACTACATCCGGGTGCAAAAACGACGCGGCTCGGGAAAGGGATCCGCCACCCTGCGTCATCCTGTCCGGCTAACTGAGTGCACGTCCTGGGCGAGGAGCGTCACCCTGCGTCGCCCGGCAATCCCGATGAAAAATACCCCGATAGCACCTCTCAACGGACCCTCCGTACGAGGTCGACACCTCCACGACGCCGGTCGCGGTCAGCGTGCCACGACGTCCACCTAGCCATCGGCGCGGACTGCGACGTGAGGCCCACCGCGATTTCTGGCCGGCCACTGCGCTGGCGCGCAGAGCCACACGTCGCCCATCCGAAACACAACATTCCACGCGGCGAACATCGATCGGCAAACGTCTGTCCACGCGGCGATCAAGCCTTCGCCGGCCTGCTGGCGGGAACGTCCCCGCGGGATACCATCGTCGGGCGACGCCATGAGCACTGCTGCGTCACGCCGACGTGTAAGCACGGTTCACCGTGACGGGAACACCGGACGGTCGGCTGCGTAAAAGACATGAGTGCCCCGTGCAACGTCGACCATTGCGCCGCCGTGCCGTTCTGCCTTGCATGCAGAGTTGGAGACATGCCCACGGATCGCCCGCCAACACCTGTCCGCCCGAACCGCGACTGTGCCTCTCTATGCTATGACCCCCTGACGGCCAAGTGTCCATGGCATTTCGACACTTGTTTGTTGCGTTGCATTCATTTCCATTCTGGTGGGCCACATTTCCCTTGCTCATTTTCACGCTTCTCGGAGACCGACCGACCACGCGCGGTGCAGGGTCGACGACGAGCCACGCCGGTGTAGAGTGCGTTTAGGTCGGCAAACTTTACGGGCTTCCGACTTAGGATCATTCCGACTAGGACGACTGACTAGGTCGACAACAACCGAAAGTCGCCGACCTCTTTCTTCAAACCCACAACCAGTATTGTCATCGCCGGTGATCCCCCGTGCGGCCTCCAATGGTCAGGGACCAGTCTAACAACATCCCGCCGGACAACACCCCGCCGAACGATACATTGCCACTTCACACCCCGCCGACCATTGTGCCGCCGACCACGGCCACTCCGAACATCACCCAGCAGAACACCAATCCGCCGCCCTTACTTCCCGAAATTCCCGAACTGACCGACATTGCCGCGGAGTTGACGATCGCCGAGAACGTTGAGAGGGCCGAAAGACGGGCGGCCTTTAGGGCCACGGTGCGAAGGCAATACACGGCAGCGATTGTGCAGTATCGACTTTGGTGGGCTGAGCACGTACCGCAGCGAGATCGCGGCGACAACTAGAGGCCGACGGGAACAACTCTACCCGCCGAGATGGCTGGCGTCGCGCCGCCGGCGGGGAGCAGCGCGATTCCCGACCTGAACGAGCCTTTCATGGAGGAAGATGTAGACACCGCTAGGGCAAATATTCCCGCCGACATGGTGGTCGACGTAGACGCCGCTAGGGCAAAAATTCCCGCCGACCCGACCATCCCCCTACCGCCAGGGACGAAAGGGGCTCCCGAACCCGGGCCGGACCGGTACTCGCCGCGTTCGGACACGGAGCAGCCGCCGCCAATTGGACCATTTCCAGAAAACGACTACATGTATCTGACCGTAGAGGACTTGTTGGCAGCCGACGAGAAAGATGACGCCTTCCTGCAAAACATTCCGCGCGACGATTTTGCGGAAGCCGCCTTCGACATCAACAAAGAGCTCGCCAAGAAGAACAAATTGCTGAGGATGATGTGGGGTTTCCGGCATCTCGACACGCTGGAGGCGAGAACGACCCGGATTCAGTACCTGCGGGCGCTGCTCGACTTCAGGAGATGGTGCTGCGCGAACCTTCCAAGACAGCAAACCGCCAGAGTCAAGGGGGACGGCGTGCTGGAACACGAGGACGAGATAGGGAGGTACATCGACGAAGACATGGGTGATAAGTGGCACACCGCCAAGGGCGACCTACAATGGATGCACGGTCCCCGCGTCAACGCCACGCGGATCAGGGCGTACATTCTGTCAATCGCGAGGCAGGAAGGTATTGCAAAGGCCGAGGAGCTCGAGGAGCTGAATCCCGACGTCCGTGTCCAGCCCCTGAAGCCGACAACCGTTTCGATGCTGCTCATCCGCATCAAAGCGCTCCAAACGGCCTGCAAGGTCGAGGGGACGCTCTTCGCGGTGAAGGAGCTCCACATCATGTACGACATCTCCGAGGTCCGCTCGGAGGTGCGCGCGATGGTCAGAGAGAAGTGGCACAGGGACGACAGGTAAGTCGGCAAGTCGTCCCGCGCCTGTTTCCCGGTTCGCCCAGCTAACCCAGTCCTCGTGGAAACTGATGTGCAGGGATTGCGTCGACCGGCACCGCGGAACGCTCGGCGACACGTACACCACCGACCAGATCCGCCACCTCATGTTCAAGGTCTTGCCGACCTGGGCAGCTCGGGCGTACGAACCCAAAGCGGCCACCCCCTCCCAGACACTGTGGAAGTTTCTGCTGATGAAGACGATGACCCTCTTGGGTCACCACACCCTTCTCCGCGGAGCCAGTCTCCGAGCGATCGAGCTCCCCGACCTGTTTTTGTACAGAATGGGGAGCGCGTCGCCCGAGCACTCCACTCGACGGCCGGTTGTCATGGTTGTCGCGTCACGAAACTCCAAGACGAACAAGGATGCTCGTCTGCATCACAGCTACGCGGCGAGACACCTGGACCAAGAGATGTGCGCCGTCGGTCACACACTGTTGTGGCTGCACTTCGTGTACGACCAGCTCAGCCGATCGCCCACTTCTCGATGTGTGCCGCCCCTCGACTTCATGACTCCGTACAGCTGGTATCACAAGCACCTCTTTCATGCTCGGAACGACAAGGAACAAAAAGAGCTGCCGGCGTCATCTCATTCTCGGATCACGAAAGAGATGTGGCGGACGAACAACATCTTCATCACGCGCAACACCCACGCCGCCCGGGCGGGTGGGGCACAGGAGCTGGCCGACGACGGCGTTCCGCGATCTGACATCGCCGACTTGGGCCACTGGGCGCTCGACAAGCTCGCGAAGAGCTACATCACGACCATCCCGAAGGCGGCGGTGTTGAGAAAGGCCGGCTACACGGGCAAGCGCGGCGACTACCACCTCGGCCGGAGCATGGTGAAGCCCGACGACAAGGTGGTGGCCCTCATCGCCCAGCACATCTTTCCGTGGGCTGAAGCGGAACTGGCCAAGGTGAGCATTTCGGACGGCAATAACGCCGACAACCCGCCGACCATTTCCACGACGACATTATACCGACGGCTGATTGTGTTTGTGTTCGACTCGCAGGCGGTAAAATGCGCATCCGCGAGAGAGCCCAACACGGCCGGGGTGCACTTCCTGCAATCGCTCATCGAGTTCGGCCGCCGAATCGTCGCCGAGGATCTTGCGTGCATGCTGATGCGCGAACCGTGGCACCCGTACGTCCAGAGTTCCAAGCTCTGCCGCGACCCCGACTTCCAAAAATGGGCCAAG